AAAAAAAAAAAACAAGTAAGAAAGCTCCAGTCGAGACTGCTCGACTAGGAGATACCCTGAACCCTCCAAGCTGATATTCTAATCATTCTGCACTTCTTTTATGCACACATACATACACATGCATCCACACGCACGCATAAGCCTGCGCTCTGCTAACTGCGCAGTAAGCAGCGACTGCGCTTGGGCTGCGCTGCAGTGTGGGCAATATTATGAGAATTTATTTGTCGAATAATTTCTTTTGTAAACATATGATCTTAATGAAACTTTCAGAGTGTAATCATATGGTAAATATGTGTGTACATTCCAAAGCACAAGTCTCTAGTACTTGAAATGCGTTTTTTACAAATTGGGGGAGAAGGGGGCGTGGTATCCAAAATCTGTAAATTACAAAATCTTTGTATCGATTAACTTTATATACAACGCAAATTTGAAGACTCCAGGTCTAAAAATGTTCAAATTAGGCTAAAAAAACAAAATCAATTTTTCGATTATTCTCGATAAAAAAGTTATCGGACGATTTATCGAAAAAATAAAGCAAACTCGTACTGCGTATGGTACACACGAGTATGCATGCCAAATTTCAGCTCTCTAGCTCTTATAACTTCTAAGATCGACGCACTCATACGGACGGACGGACGGACAGACGGACAGACGGACAGGGCTATATCGACTCAGCTCGTCACGCTGATCAAGAATATATATACYTTGTGGGRTCTGMSACGCCTCCTTCTGCCCGTTACATACTTTTTCACAAAGCCATTATACCCTGATTTCCCATTTTCAATGGGTTCAGGGTATAAATAGACAACGAACCATAGTCAGTTAAGAGAGGCGAAATTAAAATAAGAAAGCGTCCCACAATAGCAGTGGGAAATGGAAAGGTCTTCTTCCTGGCAAGGACGCGCCTCTCGACGCTTCGCGTTTAAATGGAATTGAATTGAAAATGATGCAGGTATAAAATGGATAATAAATTTTCACTTGTGCATCTAAAAACTTTTTGTTGAAAACGCGTACAAACTAGAGAGAACTAAGTTCACAAACTGTCCTTTTGTCTCTCATCTTCCCCCCCCCCCCCTCTCTCTCTCTCTCTCTCTCTCTCTCTCTCTCTCTCTCTCTCTCTCTTTATATGAACTGTCAGTTAGCATGTTACCAAATGATGTGCTGAAAAGTTTCTGCCATATTTTATAAATCAGACCCAGTCACATATATAAAAAAAATAGTTAAATTCTAGAAGGCCCTATGCTTGGTTCTGGGGAGATTGACAAATGCAGTGAATAAGCAACTGTAGCACGTAACTTGTATTTAAAACCCAGTTATTTGTTAGTTAAGAAGTCTGAGACACTTTCAGAGACTGAGATACATATTACCCAGAATATGCATTGATAATGTTGATCGTGACCTGTAGAACGTTCAATTTCATGTCATATTTTATTCTGCTCACTGCGTACAAATTGAATCTGGACACTTTCCCCATGCTGAAAAAAGAAAACAATGAATGTTTGCTATAATACTCAAGGTTAACAAGATTAATATATATATAAAAGAGATATGTTCATGATGTAATATCGTGTGAACTGAGATGCATCTCACACACAAAAAGGATAATAATCAAAAATCAACCTTTTAGTTTTTCAAATATTTTGCAATTCTAGCCTGAGACTAATCCAGATTAATTACTTCAAATAGTTTTTCGCTTATATTATTGGCAGGAAAGATAAAGCTTTTGTGGCGCTTTGCTGATGACATTATCAGCTTGCTAAATTTGCCGAGCTTGCATAAATTATGAAGTAGAACAGAAAATTGGGGTCGATACATTGGTCCTGTGGCGCAATGGATAACGCGTCTGACTACGGATCAGAAGATTCCAGGTTCGACTCCTGGCAGGATCGCAACACGCCTGATAGTTTTTTACTAACTGGTTACAGCTATTAATATCTCATATATCTGAACGTTATATAAGCATGTATCTATAAATTTAATATTTTTATTTTATTTCTAAAAAATAATGGAAAATAATATTACATAAGTATTTTTACAATTCTTATCAGTTTTAAACTTCTTTCAAAAGTAATTTTTTGTTAACTATATTTTTACCCTGTATTCAATAGCCTCCGTGGCGCAATCGGTTAGCGCGTTCGGCTGTTAACCGAAAGGTTGGTGGTTCGAGTCCACCCGGGGGCGATTACTATTTTGGCATTTTATTTTTATTCACTACAAAGCTATGCCCGATCACACGGTGTAACAAACTTCTGAAGGTCACCCTTATGAAACTCGTGAGACAGCCCGTTTGCAAACTACACAAGTTGTTGAGCCAGTTTTTGTTTCTTTTCATTTTAGTCTGGCTCAGATTGAATACACTTATGCAGTAAAAGTATCTACAGATATGGTGCCGGACTTAATCGTCTGGCACCATATCGTCGATTAATCGTCTGTATAACACGAATCAACAGGACCCTAAAGGATAACGTCGTCGCAAATAAGTAGGAAGAACTGAAACTAAATATACAATAGGAGCGACAAAAAATGAGATGAGTGATATCAAATGAGCACACAGGAGTTGTGAACTGATTGAATTAAAATTAGTAAATTAATTATATAAATCTAAAACAGGTTAAGATAAAAGTATTTTAAAAATTAACGAGTAAGTTAAAAATAATTAAACAAAAGAGATTTCCAAGTACGGAATTCTTCCCATACCGGGAATTGAACCCGGGCCTTCCGGGTGAGAGCCGGATATCCTAACCACTAGACAATATGGGAGATACAATGCTTCTGAACAAATTATTATTTGAGTGCCAGAGTTGTTAAATGAATAGACAACAGGTGCTAAGATCAATATAATCTGAAAAATTATTGGAGAGATGCCAATACATTTCACAACTTTGATTCGATGCTGAAATTGAGCCACTAATAGTATTGTTTGCTTAGGAATTTTATATTTATATACATGCCATGCTTAATTTTCATTTTCAAATTCATTTTTGCATTTAACAATAAATATAGCATTGTTTGCGTTTTATTTTATTTGTTGAATTCGTTTAGTTTTTAATTTGCAGTGCATTAACCGCGATTTGCGATGTCTAATCAACAATAACAAATCCAAGTCCATATAGGAAATCAATGACTATATGCATATATTATATTTGGTATGGCAGTGTATGTATGTGTGCATCTTATTTTAAGGTTAAGTTCAGTCATTCGCCTCGTTTCATATTATTTGCATGGCAAAAAAAAAAAATAATAATA